TACATATATACACACATATACAAACGTATGTGCACATACAGATGCAGACACACACCTGTGCACGGACGTGCACACACCTACAGCCACGCATGCGCCCACCCCCTCATACACACGCATCCACCTCACCACTCGCACCCCCCAGCCCTGCGCCCACACCCCCAGCACAGGTGTCATGGGGCTGGGCCACCCTGCTGCCAGCTGGTGTCCCCCCCCATCCTCTGCCCCATGGCTCAGGCCTGGCTGGGGCTGGGGCAGCCTTCACCCACCCCCCCAGCACTGGCTGCTCCCCCTTTCCCACAGAAATCGGAGCATTGTGGGGGGAAGGAAGCTGCTGAAGCAGCAATGCACACGGATGTGGAGCCTTGGGTGTGGGCATGCTTATTCTCCTAAACTATAACGACATAAGCATATGCATACATATATTTGTATTCATGCATAGACATATGTACATGTACAGACTTATCTACACATAAATATATATGTGTATACATCTATTTGTGAATGTATTATTACGTAACCACATATCTGAGAGCCGTTCCCATCATGTTTTATGTGTAAGGACAAAATGTAGTAGGCCCACGCAAAGTTCATTTTCCCTACTGAGAACACCCCCAGGAGTTGGTGCTGCCCAGTAACCAGCAGTGGAGTGGTGGGAGCTCTCTTTTTTTCCCCTCTTGGTAGTGCATCAGCACTTCCCAAAAGTTTTCTTTTCCCCGTGGGTGTCTGGCATGCAGCAAAACACTCGGGTGTTTCTTACTCAGGGCTTCCAGTCAGCGATGCTTCCACTTCCCCCGCCGCCCCACACTGCCTCTCTGGCCCTGCTGGCTCCCGGCTGCTCACTGCCCCCAGCCACCTCTGCGCCCCTCGCACCTCCTCCCACCTCTGCTCTTTTCCTCCAGGCCTTTCCTAGTGATGTGTGTTCCCTCCATGCTGCTGGCCCCAGCTGTGCTGCTCCTTCCCTGCCTCCTTCAGTAGTTTTCTGTTTTCATTTCCCTTCTTCAGCTGCTTCTTTCAGAGGAGACCTCCTCATCTACCCCAGGGCTCCATCCTGCCCCATGAGTCCCATGGGCTGCCAACCATCACTCCTCAAATTTTCCATCTTTTCCCCTACCAATGTCCCTCAGTCTTTAACCACCTCAAACCCTCTTATCAAACCAGCCGGGCTCTGTGTCTGGCCGAGATCTCCAGGGCCTTCCAGGCTCCCACGGGTGGCCGGGAGGAGGGGGCATGGGGACAGGCACGGGCAGGCGAGTTCCAGCTCCGGCTCAACCACTTATCACAGGATTGTCTCTGCTCTACTGAGCAGTGGAGTTTTTGCCAGAACTTCAGCCTCAAAGCGAATCTGTTTTTTCAACATGTTCCTTAAAAATAAACATGGGGTTGCACTTTTCTTTCCATTTATTTATTGTTGTTATTTTAACAACGGGTTGGAAACAGATTGTGAGAGAAACGCTCACACACTTCGTGCTGGGAAATGACTCTGCTCCACCACACTGTCCCCCACTCTCTTACTGGGACCCCGCAGCTGTCCACAGTGGATCGCTGGGTGTGAGTGACAGGGCCCACCAGCTGGGCAGGTGACACCATCCCCCCGCACACGAGCACAAGGGAGGCGGGCAGGAGCGGGGGCCATACCACAGGCCGCGGCAGACCCACTTGCTCTCCTCTGATGTGCTCTGAGACAGACGTGATGCTGCTGCAACACCATGCCATGGCCAAGCTCTAGTGACCTTGCACGTCATCTCACAAATGCCAACCTGCCCAGATTTTTCTAAGGAGCTGAACAGCAGGAATTACCAGTGATCTGCTTGCCAGCATCTTGCAGCAGAAACCAGTATAGCAGATGGCCACAGGACAGGACTTGATTCATCACCTTTTCCTAGAGAAAATGTCATCTTTTGATATGGACCTCAGATGTTGACCTTTCTGTAAGTTTATACCCAGAAATCACTTCACTTTACTCCTTTGGAGTGGGATGCAGGAGCAATTTAAGGCACCATGGGGCAGGAGCACAGGAGAGGAAAGGACTCTGCTCAGCCTAAGTGCTGAATCCCTGCAGGGTTAGGAGCTGGGAATGTCCTTCTCCCAGGGGACTTGATCAGGATGTTGATCTCCCCCAACCAGCCCAAAGCCTTGTGTGTTCCAGGAGCAGAAGCACGGGTTGGGAGGCTTCACTTGAACGCTTTAATGGAAAGCAGTATTTGTAATGGTGCTGTGCCTCCAGTGCCTCGTTAGTGGGAGCAGCCATCCCTGACGCGCAGATGCAGGGATCCCTGTGCCACTGACAATCTTTTCTCTCGTTGTCCCAGACTCTTCTCAGTGTCCCACAAGGAAAACAACTAAAAGACAGATTTTCTTCCTCCAGTTTGACAACCTCAGTTTTTGCCAGGTTTAAAGAAATTGCCATGTCTGACACCTGCACGGCTACGTGAGAGTGTGCTCTCAATGATAACCACCTTCCAGTCGTGATGTTAACCAGCACCATACAAATATTAACTATGGGCCAGACACCACGAACCTTGGCTGTTCTGAGACAGGGCAGGGAAGACATCCAGCTGAGGCCTTTGCGTAAAGGGAATTTGCATCCGCAACAATGATAATTGCTCTTCGATGGACTTATATAATTGTGAGACTTTTGAATCTGATCTTGTTTACGCCCGGTGCAAATCAGGAAGAAAAAAATTCATCACATGTGGCACTGTGTACTTAATCACTTATAATCCTGGACTAGCTATTTCCTTGCTTTACTCTATTTTTGTTTTCTTTTCTTAAATAAACCTGCCATAAGAATGAAAGAAAGGAAAATACAAAACAGGGCTGAAGTGACTTTTAGGAGCTCACTCTGACCTGAATAACTTTCTTAAGGGTTAGATTTCCTGTCTTAACAAAAGCCAGGAAACACAAAATTAACCCCTTCCTCCAAAACAATCCGTATTTGCACTCAGGCCACAATGTCATTGTAAGGGTAATAATAGAAACAAGAGCATGAAGTGTGAGGGTGGGAGGTGATGCTTTGATTTGAGCAGATGGGACCCGCTGTCGGCATTCAGCCCCCTGTGTCCCCTGGGCTTTAATAGTTCCCACGTTTCTCTGCCAAAACCTGTAAAAGCCCATAACAACATGAGAGCCCTATGAGTGTGAGCCCTCACTCCTGACATTAGGGACTTCTTGGGAAGATTACTTCATGGCAATTTCATCGTGTCACAGCTGAGCATGATGTCTTTGTCTCAGCAGGACTGGAGACCTGGCTGGCTTTCCCCAGAGGCCACGGGTCTCCCAGTGCAACCTGGTTGATGTTTATCTCTGAGGTAATAAAGGGCTGCAGACAGCTTCTGCATTGACTGACACTGATGCCAATTAGTTAGAACTTGGTGACAAGTGTAGATAACCCCTGGCTGGGAACTGGCCCATTGCACAAACCTGATACCTAGTAATACTGGTTATTCAGGCTTTTCAGCTAGTCACTCATGGCCAAAATCAGTCCTGAATGGTTCCAGCAAAGCCAGAATTACAGCACCATTGGACCTGACCTGAGCCTGGGTCTCGCTGCCCTTGGTGCAAGTTTTGTCTGAATAAAGAATATGAAGGATCAAGCCTCAACACTTGAGACAGAGAACAAAAATGCATGTGGGAACATTTGGAAACCATGCTGGATGCATTTCTTTAGCATGTGTAACATTTTCTCCGAATTCAGTTTCACAACCCAGCATTTCCTTTTGTAAATATTTGGACAGATTTTACATAGACACAGATTCACAAAAAACAGAAGGAAAAAGAAAGGAAAGACTTGGGGGGGTGGGAAGCTAGGGAAGAGGAAGTGAAGAAGAGGAGGGAAGGGAAGGGAAGGGAAGGGAAAGATTCAGCAATGAAAGTTTACAATAAACAGAATAATGTTCAATATGGAATTACATACTACAATTAAAACATTATTTTTCATGCATTTAAATGCTGAGATTTAACCTTTATGCCAGGGTTTGGCTGAGCTCAGACTGCCTTATATTCTTCATGTTGGAGGTGATGAGGTGGGGGAATGGGAAGGCAGAAGGGTCAGACCCCACAGCATGAAAACCAGCTCTGGGCTGGGGTCTGACCTCTGAAGAGACAGGCTGGAAAAGCTGGTATGGCCTTATTTCTGCCACATCCAATGTGTAAGTATTTCTTGCTTGTGGAAAATAGTTGGTGGAACGGCTTGGGTATTTTGACTGAGAATATCTCCCGGTACAGAAGGGAGGAATAAGGAAAGCCTCTTTCCCCCAGCCCTGCCTCAGCTTACTGCTTGCCTGCCAGCCTCGGACTGCTCGCTGCCTCCTGCTCCCCGGGCTCTGGGCAGAGATGGGGAGACAGCAGGCACTGGGTGCCTTTCTTGCACACTTACGGACCATAATGATCACTCCTTGGACTCCAGGCTTCTCACCATGAGCCTTTCTCTGCTGTATTTTTGATGCAGAGCCATGAGCTCCCCATCCATTGCTCTGTGATGCTGTGGGCAGCACACCACGTGCTGCCAGCTCCAAAATGAGACAGCCCCTGGAGCCAGCCCCGCGCTGCAGCTGGGGGCTTGCCCAGCCCTGCATCTGCGGCTCGGTTACGTTACCCGAGGAGCCCAGACAGCGTGCCTGGCACCATATGACCCCATACATGTGTGTGTGCCTGTCACAGGGCCCAACATACGACATCTCATGGCCTGAAACCCAAGACACTTGAGAAGTCTGCAGCATGGACAGTCCCCCATCATCATTTTGCAGGTGGCTCCATGTCTGCTTGGGCAGCTAATGCAAGTCAGGAGTTCTGCTTTCTCTTCCAGTGACTCACCGAGCTGCCTCAGGCAAGTTGCTTAGTGCTGTGTTTTAACATGATTACAGGCATTAGACAGCCAGTCTGGAATACCATGGATTTGATATTCAAAATCATTAAATACCTACCTCCAAAGGAAAATCTCTGGGAA